ACAGATAACATTTGGGAGATCGAAGTTTTAGCTATTAAAGATATTATACAGCATTTATTTTAAAAGTGCCACAGGCAATGTCCAAAATGCAATAACTTGTCTAAGATAACGGTGACAATTACATGTTACATATTATAAGCGCAATACATATGTATTAGATCAAGACTCACATAATTTTCATAATGATATTATTAATATGTATATTTATAGTGAAGTGGTATCTTACTGCTTAAAGCACTTAGAGAAGGTGACACCCCTTTATTTTGTAGTTTCTAAATTTGGCACGTTGATCCGCACATTATCAAGCTGCTATTCATAAAAAAAAATTTTGCAAATCGAAGTACGCAGCCCACGAAATTAGAAAAGTCACCTTCTTTGTAAACATATTAGACCACATAAATACTAACAAACTAATTGGTTTTGCACGAACAAATTAATTTAGCAATTAAAACCAATAAAAAATAAGTAAGAAATTTATATTCGACGGAGGCCGAATACCGCACACCCGCCGCTATGCTTTTCGGATTTTACTCTCCACGTTCTTTTATTTAGTAGCCATATCAATAATTTCATTAAGAAAATATTTTTCACGTTCTCTACCATATTCATTTTAAAATTAACACATTTTTATGCAGAAAATATATCTTCATTTGAGCAGGGTAATGAATAGTTTTACATAGTATCTCTTGTTTGCCTTTTGATAAATAAGCACAAAACCTCAAAAAAGTGAATAACATAAATTTAATCAGTTGTAACTTGGTGTGAACATGGCTTATTTTTTCCCCAATTTAGCGCATAAGGAGTAGAGTGCTTCGGAAAGTAACTGTACAATATTTCAGGGTTCTAACTTTCTAATTTCTGAGTAACGAGCAAAAATCCAAAAATTTTTGTTAAAAAAAATTGAGTTGGGTTCAGTTCACGCGTATCTGCTCTGGCCGATGTTCAACACAAACCTGCGTGCAGAAATTTTCAATGTTTCTACCAAATTTGAAATTGATATCTTCATTTTTGCGACCAGGAGATTGCCAAAAACACACATAACATAGACATACAAATGGACGGTCATGGCTAAATCAACTAAGAATTTCACGCTGATCAAGAATATATAAATGTCACAGGGTCTCTGAAGATTTCTTTTGGGTGTTACATGTATTATGGAAAAAAACAAAATAAATATACCCCATTGTACAGTGGTAGCTATAATTATATAAAATTAAATTACATTTTGCTTTTATTATTAAAAAAAAAGAGTGATACAAATAAAATATAAAAAATAACGATAATAATAAATCACTAATTTTGAAAGTGGAGCAAGTCTGATAATATATAAGATAACCATCATTTTTTTAGCACCTTCTTCACTATCGGATAGTAAACTTGCATTATTTAACACCCAAAATAAAAAAGTGTCTATTTTAGATTTATTGAAATATAAGGAATGGACTTGCCCCCTATTCAAAATAAACAGCATTTTTTTGTTTTAGACGCATCAAAACCTTCCTTATTTACGCATTCTCTGTTTTGCCCTCTCTCACTCAATTCCTTAAAAAAAATACTAGATTGTCATCCATAGAAGAAGAAAAAAAACTTTTTAATATTTGCAAGAACAATAAATCCTCGCACAAATCCACGTCAGAGTGCACTGAGCGATGAGAGAGAACCATTTGGAAATTGTCGACTTTGATTGTGAGCATTGTTTCTGCAGCAGCCTATGTTATGAAAAGCAATTTTCGAAGTCCCATAAAAAGATTCTCAGAAATTACTTTCATGATATTTTCATTTTACTCTCATGATACTTTGATTTTATTTTCATAATTATTTTGTTTTACTTTTATGGTATTTTCCTACCCATCAGCGAATGATGAGAGATATATTAATTTGTTAAAATGTTTGCAACGCCCAGAGACGCCGCAAAGTGTACACATTCGATAGGCATGAAATTCTGAATTGATTAGGCTATATTTGTCAGTCCGTCCGTCTGTGTACTGTCTGTTGTAAACATTCTCCAGGCCGCAAAAATGAAGCCATCGACTTTTCAAAGTCCCGTAAAAAAATTATCGGGGCAAAACTTAATATAATCTGCACATGGTTGGAAAGGCTATTAATAGAGAATTCATTATGTGATAGTTTAATTTTTTTATAGGACATGGTTTGGACACAGTAGCCACGCAAGGTTTCTTCACCTTGTCAACCTCATTTATGACAAGGTGTAAAAGTGTTTTGCTTTCGAATATTAATTAATTTACATAAAATCATGTTTTGTTTATAGCAATTTGCAAAAAATTTCTCGAAAAGTTCTATTTTACTTGTATTTTGATTTAAATCCCTCCAATACTTCGTTTAACAGAAATCAGTTTTACAGAGTCTGCAAAATAATTTGGTTTGCTTTTTTGGGTGGTGTCAATCCCTGTCCCTGTCCCTGTCCCTGTCAATATAGCATTGCTTGAACACGACTTTGGTTCTCTTATGGTGCTCTTTTTCGTGGAACATGTATATTGTGTTAGAATTTCCATTATTATTACAATCATAATTAACTCCAGCGCGATGTTCAACGATAAAAGAATTCGCGCGGTAACCAGTGACGCGGATGTATCTTATCTTATAGGCTTTTCTAAAACTTCCTATGGAGGAATTCCGGTGCTTGATTCAGACGTGTATTCCCATAAATTATCTCCTCTACTGTGGGCGTGTGGTTGTTGCATTCCATTTTCAACGTTTCATAGTTCAAGCTTTCAAGTTTTCATAGTGTCCAGTTCGAGCCTTTTGCTGTTTGTGCTTATCGGGATGGGCATGACTCATACGGACCCCCGAGTTGTCTTCGTGGGGAAGGTTCTTCCACACCCACAACAAGTAAAGTCCGTATGAGTGATACTGGGATTCTGGTTTCGACTATTGACAAATTGATGTTACTTAGAACCGTCAGAGCAACTCATCAGGATTTTATATTTGGACGTATTGATTTGCATTTGCATTAATACCATTTCTTCGGCTATTGTTTAATGGTTGCAAAATATCAGAATCCTTTCGATTAGGCATAGAATTTGGCGAAGAATTAAAGGAATCAAGTTGGCGATCGTTGTCAGAGAACGAAGACCTTGATAAGACCTTGATATATTCTTTTTCGGTGTAGGACAGAAGAAAGGTGCT